TGATATGTTTCCCAAAACACACTTCTGTTATTTTTCATAGGCTGTAGCTATAGCTGGACATGCTCTTTCAGCCTTGCTTAGCTATTTTGTGATACCAGTGAAAAACCTTCTGGTATAGGCCTCTATAGACAGAGAGCCCTGTGAGCACTGAGATCTAATGCAACACAGCACTCACACTGATTGAGTACACCGACATGGACATTCTTCCGAGTAATGCAGTCTCCACCATCTAGTTTGTGGCTGTTTTACTTACATTTCCCTTGGAGTTCCTTTTGTTAGCTGGAAAGAAGAAAGAACGGAGTGGGTCCAGGGTGCACCAGGAGATGATGCTTTTCATTTCTGTCCCTTTTCTCTTACCACAGTGCAATAATTGCTCCTATCAGTAAATCATGCTGGGAAACAGACTGCAGGCCTGGAGGAAGGGGAAGCAGCCTCAGGCAGAAGGAGGTTTGGTCCCAACACAAATCCTTTTGGGTGGTGAGTTTCTTAACTCAAAGTAGCCTGCTCATGCCTTGCCAATCCCAAGACCTCGCAGATGAGACTCTTATGTATCAGTGATGCTGGTGACAGAGGGAACATGACGAGCTCTGCTCCTGGTTCACAATGTCTTCCCAATTTTCTGGTCCTGCGTGTTTCCATAATTCAAGCAGAAGTGAACCAAAGCAAGAATTTTCAAAGAAAGTTATCACACAGTCTTGGAAATGACATCTAGGAAACATCTGCACGTTTAGAGGGGACTTCTGAGCTCCAGGATGGGACTGGCTACTGCTCTGTGTGGTAAGATATCCCTTTTGGAGGAGGCCAAAGAGGCTTGCGAGGTGTAGAGCTCTTGAGATAACTCTCGTTTTCTGTCTGCTGCCTCCATCAATACTACTCCTAGGATCTACAGAGTTAGGAAAGTTTGGGTGGTAATGTTGATTGACAGGGGCTGTTTAAACAGAACCATCAGTGTGACTGTACATTTTATAAATACTACCCCTGCTTCTTTTCCTTAGACAGCTTTTACTCAGCTCCCCTCAGCTTAACCCGTGAACTTATTTCCACCCAACAGGGGTAGGGTGGGCCATTTAACCCTGTGAGCCTTTTCTCTGCAGGAAAAAACAAATGGTGCCCTAAACTAAACCACTGAAAGAAGGAGAGAAGGCAGAGGAAGCAGGCCTTCCCAAGCTAAGAGCCATTTGTTGGGGTGCCCGCGCTTGAGCACGGTCTTGAATATTCCTAATACTTTAGCTTGTTTGCTTGTTTTAATGTTTTATTTATTTTAGTTTTTGCTTGCAAGGTAGATGGTTTCCTTACGACATTACTGGGTTTTGGTTAAACTACCTCCGCCCCTTCCTCTCTGCATGCCCTCACCTCACCTCCCCTCCCCTGCCCCTCCCCTCTGCATGCCCCATCTCACCTCCACCCCCTCCCCTCTGCATGCCCCATCTCACCTCCCCTGCCCCTCCCCTCTGCATGCCCTCACCTCCCCTCCCCTGCCCCTCCCCTCTGCATGCCCTCACCTCCCCTGCCCCTCCCCTCTGCATGCCCTCACCTCCCCTGCCCCTCCCCTCTGCATGCCCTCACCTCACCTCCCCTGCCCCTCCCCTCTGCATGCCCTCACCTCACCTCCCCTGCCCCTCCCCTCTGCATGCCCTCACCTCACCTCTCCTGCCCCTCCCCTCTGCATGCCCTCACCTCCCCTGCCCCTCCCCTCTGCATGCCCTCACCTCACCTCCCCTGCCCCTACCCTCTGCATGCCCCATCTCACCTCCACCCCCTCCCCTCTGCATGCCCTCCCTCCCCTCCCCCTCCCCTCTGCATGCCCTCACCTCCCCTCCCCTGCCCCTCCCCTCTGCATGCCCCCATCTCACCTCCACCCCCTCCCCTCTGCATGCCCTCATCTCCCCTTCCCCTCCCCTCTGCATGCCCCCACCTCCCTCCCCTGCCCCTCCCCTCTGCATGCCCTCACCTCCCCTGCCCCTCCCCTCTGCATGCCCTCATCTCACCTCCCCTGCCCCTCCCCTCTGCATGCCCTCACCTCACCTCCCCTGCCCCTCCCCTCTGCATGCCCCCATCTCACCTCCACCCCCTCCCCTCTGCATGCCCCCATCCCCTGCCCCTCCCCTCTGCATGCCCTCACCTCCCCTGCCCCTCCCCTCTGCATGCTCTCACCTCCCCTCCCCTGCCCTTCCCCTCTGTATGCCCTCACCTCCCCTCCCCTGCCCCTCCCCTCCGTATGCCCTCACCTCCCCTCCCCTGCCCCTCCTCTCTGCATGCCCTCACCTCCCCTGCCCCTCCCCTCTGCATGCCCCCATCTCACCTCCCCTGCCCCTCCCCTCTGTATGCCCTCACCTCCCCTCCCCTGCCCCTCCCCTCCGTATGCCCTCACCTCCCCTCCCCTGCCCCTCCTCTCTGCATGCCCTCACCTCCCCTGCCCCTCCCCTCTGCATGCCCCCATCTCCCCTCCCCTGCCCCTCCCCTCTGCATGCCCTCACCTCCCCTCCCCTGCCCCTCCCCTCCGTATGCCCTCACCTCCCCTCCCCTGCCCCTCCCCTCTGCATGCCCTCACCTCCCCTGCCCCTCCCCTCTGCATGCCCTCATCTCACCTCCCCTGCCCCTCCCCTCTGCATGCCCTCACCTCCCCTGCCCCTCCCCTCTGCATGCTCTCACCTCTCCTCCCCTGCCCCTCCCCTCTGTATGCCCTCACCTCCCCTCCCCTACCCCTCCCCTCCATATGCCCTCACCTCCCCTCCCCTGCCCCTCCCCTCTGCATGCCCTCACCTCCCCTGCCCCTCCCCTCTGCATGCCCTCACCTCCCCTGCCCCTCCTCTCTGCATGCCCTCACCTCCCCTGCCCCTCTGCTCTGCATGCCCCATCTCACCTCCACCCCCTCCCCTCTGCATGCCCTCACCTCACCTCCCCTCCCCTCTGCATGCCCTCACCTCCCCTCCCCTGCCCCTCCCCTCTGCATGCCCTCACCTCCCCTCCCCTGCCCCTCCTCTCTGTATGCTCCCATCTCACCTCCCCTGCCCCTCCCCTCTGTATGCTCCCATCTCACCTCCCCTGCCCCTCCTCTCTGCATGCCCCATCTCACCTCCCCTGCCCCTCCGCTCTGCACGCCCCCCCACCTCCACCTAAACAAATCCTTCCACTTCCGCTATTCCCCCTTTCACTTTCATATCCCAGGAGCTCTACTACCCCCTCCCTTCATTTCCAATTTTAAAGCACTCCGTTGCCACATCAAACAAAGAACAAAATGCACCCACTAAAACTCTAAGGTTCAGTTGTTTTCTGTAGGAGGAAGTCTGATGCCGCCATCTGTATGCGCCTCTAATAAGTCACATGTTTAATGGCGGCATCAGACTTCCTCGCTGATGAAAAAGGACAAATTGCAGCAGAAAGACACTGGACTACAGAGAAGACTTCTGAACTGAACCAACCGGTGTATTTTAAGGATGTTATGACCTCAGTCTGGAAACCAGGATATATGTTACGTTGGGGAAGGGGTTATGCTTTTGTTTCCACAGGAGAAGAAAAGGTTTGGGTTCCATCAAAATTAATTAAAATTCGATCAGAACAGAAAACATCTCAGGAGGAGGAAGATAACAGCCCATCTACAAATTCATAGTCCACCATGGGTAAAGTACCTCCTAAAAGGAAAGAGAAGTGTTTTGTTTTTGTCTTCACAGGTAAACTCAACAAAGAATACTGGACATATGGATTCCTGTAGAAGAATGAATAGCTACCCTGAGGACCATCAAACAAACAATAACTCACTGTGTGGTATCAAAGTCTAAATCTCTCTATATTGTTTTTTCATAGTACCCTTTTATCTTTATTTCTTCACATACCTCAGTCCCCATTCATTTAACTGACGCTGGCTTTGGAGTTGGATTGGCTCTCCTACTCTAAACTCAAGCATATTATTTAAATACGATTCAGAATTTCTGTATTATATCAAAGAGCCATTGATATAAGACAGAAGAAATAAAATGAGGGACTATTATCTATGGATTTCTTTTTCTGAACAGTCTAATTTCCTCCAGGTTTTCCATCTTCCCTATTGTCACCTCTTCTGTATGCATACATATGAAAGTTAAAATATTTCTTTGTTAACATTAATGTTTGAGTTTTCCAGAGGACAAGGGATTTCCTGACAGCAATCTTCAACTGCTTCCGAAAGAGAATAAGGATCCACTTCCTTGACTTCACCTGATTCGACTGGAGGCATCTGAACTGCCCCACATCATTGACTCCACCTGACAAGCACTATCCTGAAACTGGCTTGAAACTACATCACTCTACACAACTCCGGATCAAGAAACTGAAACGGCACATCTTCTACAATCTTGCCAGAGCTTCTGATGAGATCTTCAATCAACACCAGAACCCCAGTCAGGAACTTCAATCAAGCATCTCCTGCCATACTGAGACTGTCTGATCTACTGAGATTTTGTTATACTAACATTTTTTTCTCACAGGTCCCCATGAGATTATCATCGTCCTATCTCAGCAGGAAGTAGTTTTGAGAATTCCACGCCCCCTCTCCCTACTATTGATATTATAAGATAGTTTACACCTGTTAGTGTTAGTTTTCAATTATTTTAGAGTTGGGATTGGAAGGAGGTGTTCAGATTTGGGTGTTTCTTTCAGATAAGTTTAGGTTTAGATAGGATAGATATTTGATACATTTTGTTCATGGACACAAGTTAGTTGTCCTTTTTTAGACTAAAAGGGGAATTGTAGGAGGAAGTCTGATGCCGCCATTAAACATGTGACTTATTAGAGGCGCATACAGATGAGGTAATAAAAGGGCGGTTTACCACACCGCTAACCACACCCACTTTAGGCAGGACTAAAGACGTATACGGCTGGACGTAAAGACATATACGTACGTAGGCGGAACTACGTCACTAGCCAGGCCCACTTTTGGGCATGGCTAGGGGCGTTACGGGGGAAGGCATAAAAGACAGCACACAGGAAGTCTCGGTCTCTTTTCCTGGAGTTCGGCTTCCGGTCCGGTCGCTAGCTGAGAACTGTTTGGCTCCTCGGGGTTTGGTATCTTGTGAGTAATTTTCTACATTAAATACTTAGCTTTACTGTCAGTAATTGTGTGTCGCGTATCGTTACAGCGTCCGTTTAGCCTACAGTTTTCGGTTCTAATGTTGCTTTTAGGGATTCACAGGTGTGACATCATCACTGTAATCCAGCACACTTTGAAATCCAACCCCCAAGCCCTCATGTTAGTTTCCCTCATTCCTGTCTTCGCCCTCAGAAACCTGGATACACAACCATCTGGCTCCCCTCTCTGCAGACTTGCCCACGTCACACATCTCAGAGAGCTGAGGAGTCCGTAGGATTTGGGGACCGGATTCTTTCTCATGGAACTTTGTCATTAGGCTCCTTCATTGCTGAGTCAAGGCCCACACTCTTGTCACCTTTAGATGAATATTGAGGCTGGACTCTTGCTTCTGTTGCTGTTTTACAAGCGCCCTGCTGCCCATCCCAGAGCTACAGTGCGTCTGGCAGGCTTCCAGCCTCCTCCATCCCTGACTCACCTGACCTCCCACACCCACTCACCTTTGGCAGTTGGCAGGAACTATTCAAATCCTACTTTTGATCCCTGGAAAAAGATTTGGAACTGAGACCCTGCAAGCTGTAGGTGTGTATTGCCCTCTGACCTCAGGGCCAGCTAATGATAACAGAAATATGAGGAAAAAGAAGGTGTGAGAACTGGAAAGATGAGCTGCTCAGGGGGCCAATGGCAGGTGCCAACTCAAATGAACAGAGTCCTTTGACAGCTTGCCTAGCAAGCAACTCTACCTGCGCAGGAAACCTAAGGGGCTCCTAAATGTGGCAATGCTCGTTGTAAGAAACACGTTTGCTGGCTGCGTGTTGTGGAATACTATTCTCAAGGCTTGACATAGGCATTGCCCCTTAAATTCTCAGCAGCTATGATTATCTGCAGGAGACCTACACAAGATTGGGCCCATTAATGTTCTGTCATAGAGATAGCAGAGGCTCATGGGGCATCATATCTCCCAAGGATGTGTAAACAGTTAATGGTAGCTGGGAGGAGAGAGAAGGTGCTGGTGGTGTGTTTTAGTGGATGCTTCAGATGGGGAAAGGCTCTTCTTGTAGCTGCCTAAAAATGTCCACACTCTTGTCAATAATCCCCTACTCATACTCCACAGTGGGAGCCCACAGCCTGACAGACTCGGGGGATCATTTCAACTAGGAAGCATGGTAAGTTTGGCATGCAGAACCATGGTTCTGCTGTCCCTTGGCTCTGGGATGGGCAAAACAGATTGGACTGGCACTACCTAGCCCTTTGGAAGTGGGAAGGTACATAATGACTTCATGTCAGTGTCTCTTTCCCATGTCACTGGGCCTGACATTTATTTTTCTTAAAGATTTATTTATTTATTTATGTGTATGTGTACACACACACATTTCACACTTTGTGCATGCAGGTGCTTGCAAAGGACAGAAGAGGATATTAAGTCCCCTGAAACTTGAGTTACAGGTGATTGTTGCCTGGCCTGTCTGGTGTGGGTGCTAGGAATTGCATTTAGATCTTCTTGAAGAGCAGCAAGTGCTCTTAACTGTTGAACTACCTCTCTAGTCCCCAAATATTAATTTTTTTTGAGGAGGCAGTTGATACAAGGGATGGAGCCCTTTCCTGCTATACTGGACTTGTTAACATTTTTTTCTTGAGTGTCGTTTAGCTGCTGACTCCTGTGATCAACTGGTGCTTGCTTGGGATGATGGATGGTCTTGCTCACCCTTGGTGAAAGGTTTTACCCACAGACACTGTATGCTAAACTATGAGTGCTTAACAGATGTGGAAAAGTATCTGACAGATGCAAAAGTATACCTAAAGAAATGAGTTTGGACAATCATTGCACAAACGTTGCAAGAGGCAGGCACAGCTGTGAAATCACTGGGAATGTTATGGTCTGGTAAAATGCAGATGCCACCCAAGAAGGGGATTTAAAAAATCCTATAACAGTCCATGCCTCTACATAATTAAAATTTTAATAAAAGTACCTTGCTGGAGATATGGCTCAGCGATTAAGAGCACTGGCTGCTCTTCCAAAGGTCCTGAGTTCAATCCCAGCAACCACATGGTGGCTCACAACTATCTGTAATAAGATCTGGTGCCCTCTTTTAGTCTGCAGGCATACATGCAGGTAGAACACTGTTTACATAATAAATAAAAAAGAATTGGTTTTCCTGGGTGGTATTGTTGCACAGCCTTAGTCCCAGCATTGGGGAGGCAGAGTCAGGTGGATCTCTATGAGTTGGAGGCCAACCTGGTCTACAGAGTGAGTTCCAGGACAGCCAAGGCTACACAGAGAAACCCTGTCTCCAAAAACAAAAATCAAAGAAACCTGAACAGGTGAAAAAAAGATGCTCACAGATACACTCTAAACACAAAGGGTGGAGATGCCCCAGCTGCTGGTAACAATGCATGAACAGGTTAAATCAGCTATACATTTGTGAAAACCAAACTTTATTAGGTAATTTTTCAAAAGGTGATTACAGAAACCAGAAGACTAAAGACTCTATTGCTGAAGATGTCATATGCCTTGATATGAAGAGATCAAGCTGGGACTGAGCTGGAAACCTCTTTGTTAGCTTTCATAGTGCTGGAAGGTTTAGCTTTCAAAGTTCTGGAAGGTGCTGCACAGGCCACAAATGGAAAGTTGTGGACAATAATCTTATTTGGCTTAGTTACGGGGTTTTTTTTTTTTTTTTTTTTTTTGCTGAGAAGGGACATGCCCAAGGCAACATATAGAAGAAAGGGTTTATTGGGGCTTTGTTGTGGAATATTATGTTAACTAGGCAAAATGTATTACATTTGTTCATACTGCACAAAGTGCTTTAACTGTGTAAAGGTGTGTCACTTTTGCTTGTGATGCATTTGTTTAATTATGAAAAGCTGCTTTACCTTGCCTGTCTAAGGCACTAGATTGGTCTAATAAAGAGCTGAACAGCCAATGACTGGGCAGAGAAAGGATAGGCAGGGCTGGCAGGCAGGAGAATAAATAGGAGGAGAAATCAGAGAGAAGTAGAGAGAATGAGGGACATGACTCATGCCTGGGGCAAGCCAAGCAGATGCCAGACAGACAGACAGACAGACAGACAGACAGATGTAGAGAAGCAGTAAAAGTGATATACAGGAGTAAGGAAGGTAATAAGCCTTGAGGCAAAAGGTAGATAAAGTGAAACAGGCTAATTTAAGTTAAAAGAGCTACTCAGAAAAGAGCTAGGCGAAGGCCAAACATTCAAAACTAATAATAAGTCTCTGTGTCATGATGTGGGAGCTGGTTGGTGGCCCAAAAGAAACAGCCTGGTACAGGGCTTGTAGTTTCAGAAGACGAACCCATGACCATCATGGTGGGGAGCACCAAAGTGGGCAAGAGGCATGGTGCTGAAATGCTGGCTGAGGGATTGCATTAGTCCACAAGGGCAGGGAAAACAGAGAAATGACTGGGAATGGGCTGGTCTACAGAATGAGTTCCAGGACAGCCAGGGAGGTTACACAGAAAAAAAAAATTAATGGGAGTATCTGTGGTAAAACTGTTTATAAAAGGTGATGGGTTTCACAGATAACATTATTACAAGCTTTACATAATATTGTTACCTGCTTACTTGTGTCTGTGGATTTAGGTCAAGATATCTAATGACCATCCTGCTGGAAACTGCTGGGTGTGGATGAAAGTACCTTAGTTTAGGATGGACAGATAAAAAAATACTGTCTTAATTGTGCAGCATACTATATTTGCTGGCTCTGTTTTACTGGTCAAGCAACAATTTTACAGCAAAATAAGTAATAAAATATTCATTTTTTTCATTTAAAAAACTGAAAAGCATAAGACTTTCCAAGTAAGAGTATTGATAATAAGAGATTGTATATCTTAAAAGTCCAGAGCCATTCTTCAGCTGAGATACGTAATATCAGAAATACACAGCTCACTGGAGGTGCTCAACAGTAGATTTGATGAGGTGGAAGAATTGACAATTGGAAGGTAGGGTGATGGAGACATCCAGAGAAAGAGAAGCAGAGAGTGACATGGAAACTCAGTAGAGACTTAGAGATCCCTGGGCCACCTGCTCACACCTCATTCCAATGCCAGAGGAGAAGCGTGAGTCAGCCCACACCGACAGGGAGTGGATGGGTGGTGATGAGGTGCTGGTGAGGGAAATTGGGAATAACTGTGGAGTGGATTCAGGTTTCCTTTCAGGGTGACAGAAAAAACACCCTGACGGTTAAAAGCGGTGATCATACAGCAAAGAGAAATGCCAACTGCCAGGGAACTGGTCACTTTAGAAGATTTTAATCTTCTGTGACTTTCACCTCAGGACATTTTTTTTCTTTTAAAAATGGAATATATTGTTACAAGCCATGCCTCAGATCAACCTTGAAAAAAGTCTGCTATGTGAAAAACAGACAAAAAAAACCCAGACACAAACGGCCACGTGTTACATAATACATACATCATACAGTTTGCATGAAATGCTCAGAATAAGAAATTCATTGAGTTAGAAAATAGATTAGTGGCCTCAGGGGTCAAGGCAGGGGAATTGACTGGCAACTAACGGTGACAGACTTTCTCATTTAGTTTCGCATTTATTTATTTATTTACATGTATTTATTTGCTTAATATGCCCTGTGAATGTGCATCCCTGCTCTGTTTCCTCCTCCTACCATGTGGGAGTCCGAGGATGGAATGGCGGGGCCCCGGCTGCAAGCCATTGCCTGCTGAGCCACACTGCTGGCACCTGGAGGCGGGTTCTCTTGTGAGGTGGCAGAAGTGTTCTGTGACTGGCAGTGGTGGTGAGGGTATGGCACAGTGCGTATGGTAAAACCCACTGGACTGCACACTTTGGAGTGGCAAACTTGATGTCTCTAACATTCATATTAAGAAAAGGAGGAAACGGTCTTGTGTGTGGCAGCTAACTGACAATTATAAGAAAGGTATGATGTCATTTCTAGATTTGCCATTTTCAGCTTCGTTACGTGGAATTTGCTGTAATTTCTTTTGCTCTAAAGATAAGCTGACCTTTTAACCTACTTTAAGAGGGCTCCTGAACTTGATGATGGTTCTGTTCCTACAAAACCAGGATGCCCCCCAGGATTTTGTAAGATCAAGGAATTTTGTCACCAAACAGGGTGTGCCCTGTGCCAACAGGGCCCTAACTCTCAGTATCTCCCAGTGCCCACCTCAGTCCTCAGGCCCCTTCTGAGAGGCATCTCTGCTTATCCTCACATCTTCCATCGCTGTAATCTTCACTCAGCTTCCTATGGCTGTCTAGTCCATGACTACCATCAGACTGCCTGAGGGTTGTCTTTAAAGTTATTTATTTATTTAGTGGTTTGTTTGCTTAGACATGGTCTCATGTAGCCCAGGCCAGCCTAGATATAGCTGGGGAATGACCTTGAATTTCTAATCCTCCTGCCTCAGCTGGGAATACAGCCAAGTGCTGGCCTGGCTACTCCACAGAGCACTGATCTCCAATGGTCTTCCAACTGCCAGATTGGCGGTGCTGAAGCTCCCTCTCTGTGTTCTTACCTTGGCCAAGGAGCCCACTGGCATCCATCCAATGCCTCTGCTTTTCCTGTCTTTCACCTTTCCCTCATAAAAAGGGCCTGCGTCAAACTGAGTTACCACCGCACCCCAGTCCCTCCAAACTCCACACATGGCTATCTTTGTGCAGTTCCTTCTCCTCACTTAGGACTCTTCACCTGTCTGGAGTCAGCTCCCAAGTGGTCCTCAGAAAGGCTTCGCACATCCAACTGCAGCATAGATGCCTCCCGCTGGCACGGTGAAGAGCTGTGAGCATCTTAAACAGCTCATGCTTGCTCAACTTACACTGTTTCTGTGCATGAATGTATAAAACATTTATACGCACTCATGGGTTTATATATGACTACAAGAATTGTATGTATGCTTTCAACTTATTTTCTCAAGAACTAGTCATCTATAAACATGTCCAAGGCAGGGATGATGCCTCATTTATTTATGTTTGGAAGTCCCTATGTTTTCAGTTTACAGTATGTGCGTACCCCTGTGCCAATTCTGCACAGGAGAACGATGCTTTTGGAGCTGAATTCTTTCTTTTAAGGGTATCAGTCATTGAATAATGAAAGCCCCAGCAGAGCACTGTTCAGAATGTTAATGTGTCAGGCGGTGGCGCAAACTTTTATTCCTAGCACTTGGGCAACAGAACTCTGTGAG